AAGTAACCCGTGTCGTGTATTCAAAAAGAAAATCTATCACCACTATTCCGGCAAATGAGAGTGAACTTGGTCCCTTCGCATCTTAACTTTCCAATCCTCCTCTATAACCCAGAAGCTTACCTTCTTCCTAACTACTAGGAAGGTCTTCCAGGTCACGCCTGCTTTTCAAAACATTTTTTTGCTTGAAATAGGGGCACGTGTACGGGACACAGAACAATGACTCTTACTGAGTGGCTCCCTGAATGCCAGTGAGGGGTTGACAACCAACCGCTGCACATACTTGACACTGCTTCTATAATAGATTAAATCCTGTCCGCATTGGTTACTGATTGCCCTCGTTGTAATGAAACATCCATGAATAGGTGAAGGACCATTTTGCGATATCATGGAAGAGCCAATCAAAAGTGCAAAACTTTGTCACCACAGGGATTTGAACTCGAGGCCAAGCCTTTGTACCTCCTTTGGGGCTCGAGGCCCTTAGGAAAACCAAAGTATAGTACTATATTCCAAGCACGTGTCTGTACACAATTCGAAAAACCGTTCTGAAAAATCAAGGCATGATCCTGTGCACCTTACTGATAAGACTAATCTTCAACCATCTTCGAATCTTCAGACTTACTCTTGGTTAATCTACACTCCACTAACCTGGATCACATACCCATTTCTCTAGAGACAATAAAACTTGTTTCGCATAATGATGGCTGTTTACTGTGCACTACTGTTTCGACGAGAGTATTTTCAAACCCCTCAGCCTAAAGAATAAAGCCACCGCCCTGACAGTTCTCGTGCACGGCTTTAGAGGATTTAGGGAACTTGCTGAAGCGTTCCAGTGAAGTAACTTCACTGGTGATTCATAGTGGCAGAAACCGCTTCTTCCCTCTGCAAACCATTTCAGCTCACATCCTTCGACGGCATAACTTTAATTTCACTCTATTTTTGAGGTTCGTCTCCTAAGTAGGTAGGGAAGAAAAGTAGAACTTAATCTAACAGTCTGCACAAATAAATAGTCCGAACATAAGTGCAAGTTTGTAGCAAGCTGTTTATGAAATTGTTTAGTAGTTGGTGGATTCACAAGGACTTCCAGGCCGCATTTTGTTTGTTTCCCGTCGCCTTTTCGTGCTGCTCCTTTTAGCCCAAGTATGTTGGGTTGTAGACCGAAAAATGAGCTTTCTACGAGAAACGAATCTTGCTTTGAAATTCTTGACTATGTCACTGAGAGATAGCGCCACCATCCATAATTTATGGGATCAAGCTAAGTGCGAAAGGCTGCCGACCCTTAGAATATAACTGTATACGGTAAGTCAATCGAGGGGTTACTGTAACAGGGAAGTAGTGCAGCTAGCCATAAACCTTCTTCAAGTACATAGTCCTCAGCGGATACCATCTCGTAACTAAGGTTTCCTATTGGGAAGTAGCTTATATGGCTAAGGTCAGCTTACTGTGGTAAACGAAAAAGGCACTGGGTTATACATCACAAGCTACAGTATGAGCCAAACACCATACAAATCCTACCGCCAGTCTCGATAAAGTCAATCTGTGGCGTATCGGAAAAGGCACGAGTAGAGGATGAAACGCCCCCGCAATTTCGTCTTGCCACAACTGTCAGCAGCATTATTTTCTACATCTTCCTCTGTCAAGTCACAGCGTAATGAATGACATATGCAGAATGTTTGAGCGCCTGCTGAGCTGAAGATGCACGTGAAGAAAACCCTTGAGGCGATTCCAATCGGATCGGACCCGTATGGTATTTATGGAGGGAAAGGATTCTATATGTAGTAAGTGATGCATCAGAAAAAGTGCGTTGCTGTCTTCATCGAGTCGTTTGTCCGTACTTAGCCGATTGCGGAGCGTACATTAGCAAGGTGAATATCGGTCGAGGATTCCTCAACGGCTTGTCGAGGATTTTCGCCTGATCAGTTACGCTCTCCCGCGCCGACATTCACACTCGCTATGCGCGAGCCGTCTGTGCTCTCCGCGCGTCGTCACTCTCGGCACTCTATCGCACAGTACAGCTTCATGGGCGAAGAATTCCTTCGACCGCTATTATTCACCCTGTGCAGACACTGCGTATTACGCAATCGCGCGAGCCCTCCGGACAGCTTGGAAAACGCAAGTGCGGAATTCAGTGAAGAAACGCGGGGCCTATTCCAGCTAGAGGGGATTGGGGGGGCATCATGATGCTGTTTCTCGGCGAATTCGGACATTTCAGCTTTTCAAGCATGACTGCCATCACCCCCCACACCCGAAGACTGGCTACACTCCCCTGCCTCGGAGTTACCCTAGCTCTCTGGAAAAACTGCATCATGATTTGCCCCCCCCCCAGACTGAAATGAAGACTTCAAAACGCAGTTTTATGGTTCTATTCACGTGCGTCACCCACCTTGCGGACAAACGTTTTGTGAACGTGTTTCAAACGATCTCCACCCTGGTAACGGCCATTAGGTTCGATATGATGGCTTAGTTGTCGAGCTTCTCGCCAGCGTTATGTTGGGGTGGTTACAGTTGGCAGTATTTCAATGAGAAATTTTATTATTTGATTTAGTATATATTTGAAACTTTTTTATACCAGGATCTTTCATGGTCAGTGAGAGAAAGAAGAATATCATCATTTCATCATTTTAGTATGTTTACTCATCATCCGGACCTTCGAAAGTTCTTCAAGGGCGCTGAAAACTTCTTCTGAGATGATGTCACGAAAAGCGAAAAAAAAAAAAGGTTTTTTTTGTGTATTACTACGAGGAAGTAACAATACGGCATTCGGGCCATTCTTGCCAACAAGGCAACAGACTTTCCAAAAATTTCTCGAAACTTCTATTGTTTTTTTATTTTCTATTACTAGGCGGTTATTTTGGTACCATAGCCCTCGTTTAATGTGCTGGGTAAAGTTAACGAGTTTTGTAGGGGCCGGCAGTAAATAAAGGTATGTAGTAACTTATCGGTACTTTTTGTCAGTGTGGTGCTGTGGAGAGCTTTAACCCATAACGGACGCGCCAGTGTTGCGCACGCCGCCACCCAGGGTAGGGTTTATGTAGGCTTATGCGAACAGCAGGGTTAAGACGGGGCTAAAGTAGGTCGGAGTCTCATCATCCAAAAAAAGAGATTTCCGTTGACGACAAGTTCGTAACCCGCCTTTCCGCTTCTAAAACTAGGGTGCAAAGAATGAATGGAAGCTGCAGGTGAAATCATGGAAAAATGCGGAAACAACAACCCCGAGCAAGGATGTGGCTATATTTAGGGGAAGGGTCTCGGGACAGGGTCAACCGTCCGTTGGACAAAGTCCAACGCATGGCTCTCTAGCGTGTGAGAGTAATGCCGAGAGTGAACGTACGCACGGAGACACAGACGGCTCGCGCAAGGCGAGTGCGAATGCCGGCGCGGAGAGCGGTCAACGTCGGTCCAACGTCGGTCCAATGTCGGTCCAACGTAACGGTTGACCCTGGAGAAGTGGAGCGGAACGAAGTGAACCATCTGTAAGCCATCCATCAAATAGTAAGCTTATGAAAATTAAGACAAAGTGTATGTAAAATTTATTGTAGGTTTGTCAAAAATCCACTCGTCCAGGTCCTGGGAAGATATGTTATTCCACATTGCTGAGAGTATATACGGGTATATTAAGATTGTTAGAAACGTAACAAAAACAAAAGAAATAATCGTGCGCCACCATGTGGCGCACGCCGTCCGTTATGGGTTAACGAGCCTAAGGCCACTGGATATACCGCCCCTTTGAATTTAATAATGAACACGTACATATTTAGATTTGACAAACAGGGTCAACGAATCCAGCTGGCCGTTCACATCTTGGCCGACACAATGGACGATGTAAGTTCGTGGAACTCGATATGTTTCCATTTCTTGGCTTGTTTACTCGGTTGCACAACAAATGACTCTGGAGCAGGGTCGGTCCTATCGTTGTTACTTTCTGAAAAATTTTTACGACCCCCCTCCCCCAAGGTGGATTTGATACGACCCCCTTTTCGACACCTCGACCACCATCATCGTCTCTATAGTACTTAATTCTGATACCACTCAACTCACCAAACCCCGCCCACTTTTTCCTCCAAAAATGCCGTCGAGCGGGGGGGGGGGAGGTATATACGCCCGCTGAAACGGCAAATTTTTATCCTGCGCCCCTCCACTCGCCCAGCCTACTACCCACGAAATCTTAGTTTCACCTCAATCCCACACGTGATTTCAAGCGACTAAAGTGGGTACGACCCCCCCCTCCAAGCTAAACCAAGTACGACCCCCCGTTGGTACTTGTACCAACGTAGGGTTGACCCTGCTTAGGAGGGCGCACCCAGGATGGTTTCCTGAGCGACGAAATCTTTCGTGTCCAACGACAGCAGGCTGTCCAAAGGATTACAGATGTTCGTTTTCCCGGCTAAGCGGTGCCAGAATCGCGAACCGCTCCGCACAAACAGAGCAAGTCCTTAATGTTCGCGTTTTCGACAGATTCTTATCCTTTTTCTTCTTTGCAAGCCTATTTTGCACCTCTCCCACCAGTACTTTTCATTTTCTTGTGGAAAACCCGCACGAATTTGGTCCTGGGGTGAAATATGAGTTTGATTTTGAAATTCTTGTAGATGCGATAGCGCCAAAAAACGCTTTAGAAGCTCGCTGTATCCACAGTTTAAAATAGCAGTGATAAAATGGCATGATTTCATTGTCCGAAGATTCTGCCTCGTTTGGTTTTAGTTCGCATTCGTGATTACTACTTGATAGAGATCTTTGGACGATCTAAAGGGCTGTCTCAGGTACTCCTTTACTTCCGCACAATTAAGGACAATAAAAAAGTGTACACAAACAACCAGTACCATTTTTCGGACCTCTAGGTAGCACTGTCTTGATGAACTGAATTTGCAGGAACCGACATTCCGTGCCTACGCTCGAGAGACCGTCAATAGACATCGCCAGTACAAGGTTCAACCAGAGTAATTGGAATGTAAGTGCATTCTTTTCATTTTAGAAAAACCGCCGCCAACAAACGTGAACAGCTGACGGGTAAGGCAGAAATTTTTATTTTTTCATACTTATATAAGCCTTTCAAAGATATATCAAAGTCGCTTCTACCGTGAAACAAGAAGTCGAAAAGCCGAGAATTTGAGCTCGGTTTAGGGTGTTCCCAGTGCAGCTTTCGATTGCCTTCCCAGAAACCACTAGTGCTTCTACAAGGCATATTTGTGCTTAATTTGAAATAATCTAACTTAATCATTTTTTAGAATGTTAGATCCCCACAAAGATAAAAGGTTAGCTGTTCTCGCGCCCTGAAAAGCACGGCTTGGTTATTGGGGATGCCGCATTGAGCCTAAAGGCAGATAGCGCCATAAATTGCATGTCGTTAAATGTCTGAAATGCATGCTATTCAGAGCAAGTTGCGCCCTAGCAGGGTCAACCGTCCGTTGGACAAAGTCCAACGCGACGACGAGAGTAATGCCGAGAGTGAACGTACGCACGGAGACACAGACGGCTCGCGGGTGGCGAGAGTGAATGCCGGCGCGGAGAGCGGTGAACATCGGTCCAACGTCGCTCCAATATCGGTCCAACGTAACGGTTGACCCTGCCCCCAAGCATTTGAAACTAGCGCACAGCGACCTAGCAAGGCCTTCCTGTCCTCTCCGAAGCCACGTTCCTCTGTCCCCAACGCTTAGCTACCCCAGGCGCTGGACACATCTCATTTGACAGGCAGGAGATTTCAAGTTGAGAATCGCGCACCGATGCGACTCGCCTGAAGCAGAATTACATATTGAGAGGGGGTCTCCTTCCATATTCCATAGCTATCTGTTTCTTTCGACTATAACATGTTTTCAACAATTTCAGGCATTTTTCACGGTGTTCATAAACTTTTTGGATTCACACAAACCGCTGACTGATGAGCAGAAAGCCGCATGGAAACAGATGGGAGATTTATTCAATGAGGAATGTCAAAGTCATTTGAAGAATCTCGGACTGCCTCATGTTTGATCAAGTGATCGAATCGAACTTCATGTGATTTCAGTAGTGATGAAATTCTACTAGCAATTCATAAAGGAGTCAGGAAGAGGTGATTGGGTGCTATACAAGTAGGGTGGGCATGCCGCATTTTCTGAACAGAAATGTATGGAAATGGGACTGCTGCCTGCTAGTATACTATCATGAGAATCAGGGGATTCGGGTGGGGTGTAGGCCGATCCGGGGTGTAGGGCCACCGGGGGTGTGCGGGGAGGACAGTCACTGATATCTCGTTAAAAAGTGAAGCATTGCCCACCCCACTTGTACAAGCCGGTGATTGATGCAAAATAAAGAAATTGGTACTGATTGTAAGAAAGAAATCGAGTTATTGATCATCATTGTTGTGATCTTATGATCTTGACTACATTTTGTGAGGTGGCCCTGATAAGGCTATGTGTGCTAATCCTCGGCACGTGTTTAATGTTATCTTTGGTGTGCTCTATGTTCTTTACCTTTGTCCTTCATTGGGGTGCTATACAAGTGGGGTGGGCACACCCAGCTTTTTTCACGCATGTCAAGTGACTGCCCTCACCCCCCACCCCCTAGATTGGCTACACTCCCCCTGGCTCACGAACTCCCCAATTCTCGTGACAGTATAGTAGCGAGCAGCAGTCCCACTGACATACATTTCTGTTCAAAAAATGCGGCGTCCACGCTCTTTTAGGCCGATGTCAGACTTTGCGAATCGCGCGATTCGCTAGCGTCTGCGGTCGCGTCGCGGCCAGTGAATCACTCAATTGGCTGGTACCGCAACGCGACCGCGGACGCTAGCGAATCGCGCGATTCGCAAAGTCTGACATCGGCCTTAGCACACCTTTATTGTAATTCTTGCACTGTCCTACTGAATTCGATCATCATACTGAACTCTTACAAGACACGCTTTGCTTTGACTTTACTTACTGCAGTTTTTCACATAAACGTTGGTGGGTGCAAAACTGAGACGCAGGTGTGCCAATTTTGAATACGGTAGACGCGCAATGTATGTAATTGAATAATGCCAACATTAAAAAGGACTTAAGCCGTTTAGACAGAGCGAGCACCCGAAGTAAAGCGTGAATTATAATGTTCTGCTGTAGTCACGTACAATGCGCGACGCATTGACGCGCTGAAGTGCGTGCTCGCCTCCACTATTCGTTTTCTTGCTCTGTGAGCTAACCCATAGGATGTGCGACGCGCATTGTACGTGACTACGGGAGGAACATTATAATTCACGCTTTACTTCGGGTGCTCGCTCTGTCTAAACGGCTTATCTCTTCAAAAAGTGACGCGAGAGTCGCGCGGCGGATCACAGAAATCACAAGTGCCCGATCAATACTGTGTTGTTCTCCGATTATTGTGTTCCAAAAGAAAATGGGGCACTTGCGATTTTTGCGATTTGCGCGAATCGCGCGACGAATAGTGGACTCTGGCACAAGCCTCATTCCACCTCGCCCTGCAGAAATTGCGGTACTGTAATTGGAACAATCTATTGCACCGAAATGCAAAGTTCCTGGAGGAGTGCCATAAAAGATTATAGAGGCAATTTAAGCCCCCCCCCCTATGACATCCACCCTTCTTGTGACACCGCATTTAACAAACATGGTACTAAACTCATGGCAGATGCTGCTCAGATCAAAGGCGGACCTTACGATGAGAAGGCAGCCCCATGAGGAGAAGTGGACAGTGATGCACGAAAGAAGAAAAAACAAAAAGGCGGCCTAGGATCCGTGAAATGGAACTCCCGTCTGCTCCTCGATTTACGCATTGATGTGATTCTCATCGATGCTGACCTCATCAAAACTAACGCTCTCTCTGCTAAACGGCTAGAGTGAGACGGCGAGAGGATGGGAGGGCCGCGGCGCTAGCGACGCAGGGAAGATCATGCTAGTTCGCCCGGGCATACCCTTTGTTGGGGAATGAGCATCGTCCTGTACCACGAATGGTTGGTGCAACAGGGCACTAATGGTAAGGAAGAAAACCAGGAAGCGGTAACGATATAATTAGAATACTTTGCCGTCACCTTCCCTCCCACGTGCCGCTGGTGGGCGTGTCTGAGAACGGTATGGGCTTTCAAGACACTTTCGGCCCTTCATCAGGCAGCTGATAGCGCGCCTCTTGCCGCGAAAGCGCCACTTACCGTCCTGCGAAACGTAAATAGGACTCTCATCTACACTCTTCACTACCTATCTGCCTCTTTCACGATTACTAGTCTTATCGCGACTTTTGTCACTGAAAAGCGTTCCCTTTCTTCGGTGTCCGTTACCTTGTACCAGACCCTCCTGGGATTATAAATACTGACCGAGGCTACCAGCTACCCAAATGAAGTTCTGGGTCGTATAAGCATTGAAATGACACAAACGTCCTGAATAGAAGTAGAATGCGTTGCGCATTTCATTTCCTACGTACATTTATAGGCATCGATTCCCTTTGCGGAAATGTAATCTTCCGTAATGTGATAAAAAATGTTCCGAAAAAGAACGTTTGCGGAAACAGCAGCGCCTGATAAGGTTGACAAGGAGAGGTAACTGATAAGAGTATAGAAACGATTCCTTCCCTCCACTGCCCACCATTCTGAGAAGGCCACCGCTTGCGTTCCAAATGGGGTCATGTGGACCCGCGATAAGAAGGATTCGTGCTCCGCCTCCGCGAAAAAATGTCCAGCTGATTTTTCAGCTTTTAGAAGATTGCTCCATCCTCTCACTGTTGCTAGCTTCGAGTTTGTCTCATAAGTTTGTCTCATATTCAGTCTACTAACATCTGTCTAGGTACTACCTTCCTGAGTCCACCTCTAACAGTATAAGATCGATATGTTTATCCTCCCAGACTAGCCTGAAACATCTTAAGTTTGGCCGATTTGGTTCTAGCCCCGGTCCTCACATACCTGCTAGTTGGCCATTCCAGCAGATAAAATCGGTACGGCACAGCTTCACTGAATTTGGCGTTTTCCTCTGCAAAAGAAGTGATCTTCAAATTTTCACCGAGGGTCAACCAATCTCAATCTTCTGGATGGAAACATCGATTATTATCACTTGCTAAACTTTACTCCTCTAACGAGACAGCCTTCAATCAAACTCGATTGCGACCTTGCCCTGTCAAATAATCTGTGGAGCTGACGTTATTTTGTTTCGTTCGTTCTCGTTAAACCAGTTACTCGCTTGTCACTTATATAGAAGCTCCTCCCCTCCTGTCCACTCTCCGTCTGCGGGCTAGTCTTTGGCTCTTGCGCACATGCCTATAATTATTTTGGAAGGCCTTGTTAGAAATGAAAGTTTCAAGAATAGCTTGGCACCACATAATTCTCCTGTGATTACTCTACCCTGATCTTCCGTATCGTGCCGCGATTTCTAGAGCTTGCCCTAGATCTATTCAATCCATACTTATTGAGTCGTTTTCCCCAAAACCCTTGCCTTTGACAATTTCCAATTTTTTTTACCTCTCTCGGAGAGGTGCCGATATCCCACCGCCCACCCCCCGCCCCCCCCCCCTCCCCCCCTCCTAAGATCAGGCCTTTGAGGGTGTCTTATGCAACCTTCTCCCTCCCCTACCACCCCTGACCTCACCCCCACCACCATGGCTGTATATTTGGTTTTTTTTTGACCATTTTATTTTGAAACCAGTGAACACTCGCCAACTCCTCCAGAACACGGGCAGAGTAGAGGAAGTGAAGGGGCGGGGTGTAAATATGTATGTTCAAAGGATACCCAATGAAGCGGCAAGTGTTCATCCATTTCAGGCTATTTCAAGCTTTTTTGTGAGGACTTCATCAATTTTTTGAAAACCCCATTGAAGGCGACCCCCTCTTCGACAATCGTTGCCTTTCACAAATACGACCCTCACCTTCGTCAACTTCAAATATGACCTTCTTTCCAAATCGCAAAATCATGATGCACCAGTGATTTGTAGGGTTGCACAGCAGGAACTCCTTCTGCAGATCTTTTTTCGGTACAATACATTTCCCATGCACTTCGTATTGTTGACAGCCTCGTACACCTTATTTATTTATATCTACCTACAGATATTATTCTCTATGCGTCATCAGATCTACTACTGTATTGTAAAATTGCATAAACCAACAGTACTGCAATTGAGGAAAATGCAGTACGGGTCGAAAATGGAACCTTCGATTTTTTTCTCTCGCCGTGTGCTGCCATACTGCCCACCCAGGCCCTTACTGAAATTCATAAGTTTTCCGTAGGGCAGACACATTTGAAAGTGGTCCAAGTACGCAGAGTATGTGTGCACACCAATGAACCTAGGTGTGTGTTTACCGTCGTCGGTTATACATGCCAAATAGTAAGGCAAATTCGCCAAGTGTTGAGGACGGAAGCTGGTTCTGCGTCTATATTTTAGGCGCCAAGTACGCTGTATCTCTGAAGCTGCATACCGGATTCCCAGTAAATGGACCCAGAATTTTCAAACACAGATCTTCACTTGCGTTAATGGACTGACTGTTTCTCCAAGCATTAGGGTCATTTCACTTAAGGCTTCCCTGCTAAGCAGAATCAGAACGCTCTTATTCCTGGTGGCCTTTTCCCCTAGCTCGACACGTTCTTGGCTGTTGAGCGGTGGGCTCTATTCATAAAATCCTTCCTTCGTATGCCCTAATCCATTTTTTCAGCTCTTATTGGCTTCGTATCTCGTTGCGCTATTTAAAGGTCCTGTTATTGCAATTTCGTACTCGAGCTTTAGCATATTTGCTCTTTAGATGTGTGTTTAGCATGCGCACAGTAAGCTGATCATGGATTCCGTTGTTGTGTTTTCCGTGCATTTCCTTCTTCCCCTGGGAGAAAAAGTTTGAAGATTAAGCGGATGCCTCATCTTTCAATGTTATTAATTTTGAAGGCTCAGAGGCTCGGAAACACTAAAAAGCATAATATATCGTTATTTAAGGCGAACTGTTCAAGCGAGTCAAAGAAATGCACAAAAACAGTTCCGGCACAATCTTTGCACCGCTTCTACATACATTTATGTCTGGGGAGAAGGATTCGGTG